TTAATAATTTTTTTTTTTTTTTTTTTTTTGCGGGGGGACTCTTAAACCATCAGTTTAAGGATTATTATTTAGTTATTAATCTCCTTGTTTTGTGAGTTCTCTTTTTTGTATGCTCTAGTATTATTTCATTTTTTTCCTTAATGAGAGCTCAGTTTCTTATTAAAAAATAATAAAAGCAAAATAAATTCTGTTATTAGCCTTTGTGTTATTCTCTTTTATATTGTTATCCCCCTTCATCTGTAACATGTTTTAGAAAACTTTATCATATTTTCTGCACCATTCTTTTCTTTTGGTGAATACAATTTTTACAACTTCTCTCTCCTCGATTCTCTCCCTTTCCTTCTAAGCATTATACAGTATCATTGTATTAGAGCTGACCTAGAAATCTTTCTTCTTGCTTCAGAAATGCCACAACCACCAAACCCACCTGTCTCATCTGGAAATGGACATGGGTCTTCTTCCTCAACCCCCACAACGACAGCAAAACCTCACTAAAATTCACCCACAGCTCATTAATTCTTGCTCAATCAGCTTCCAATCAAGGGCGTTGGCCCAAAAATACCTTGAATACAGCAGCTAAAGGAGGTAAAACACAGTACCAAATATGTGAAAATTTTGGGCATAGTGCAAATTTGAGTTACCAACCATACGATACCCAACAACCTCAAGCCTTTTTACTCAATTTAATCCAAGCTCTAGCAGCCCAAATTCACACAACCCACGCCTTTTTATCCAGTCCAATCCCCCAACCTTACCCGATCCAGTGCCATGCTCCACGATGCAATGGTGTATAAACTCTGGCACCATCTATGTCGCATAATGGGGCTTGTCGGTAATGGTACTTTTATCCCTATCTCGCATGCTAGTTCTGCATCTTTATTATCACCTTCTTCATTTCCTATGAATTTATCAAGTCTCATGTGAACCTCCTATCTTGCATAGACTCATTGGCCTTTCCAAATTATGTTGAGACAATATGACCTCTATTGAATCTTAACCCTTCTATTGTCCAAGAAGATTCTCCTTCAGGATCATCTTGATGGTGGTCTATATAAGCTAATTGCGAGGCCTTCCTCAACACGAGCGCTTCATTCAAGCTTGCCACCCGCTATTTTGTTAACTCAGTCCACCTCCAATTTATGGCATTTAGATCAGGACGCCCTACTTTACTTGTAGTTGAACAAATTTTGCGAGTCTGTAACATTGATGGTTCTAAAAGAAATAAATCTTAACACTTGTGACTCTTTTCAAAAGGCTAAAGGCCATAGGCTACCTTTTGATCTTGTTCATTTTGACTCGTGGGTTATAGCCCCTTTAAAGTCTTCAATTTTTTAAGTTTTCCTTTTCTTCGCCCCTCTAGCGAACACAAACTCGAATTCCGATCCACCAAGTGTGCCTTTCTTGGCTATAGTTTCAATCACAAAGGACGCTTACCTTCAATGAAACTCCTTTCCCTATGGCTAAACCACCCTCAGGTTCTCTCGTTGTACCCTCCCAACACATTGAAAGGGACAATGATGCCAAACGAATAAAGAAACAAGTTCAAGTACAAACAACAAGATTAAATCTACTCGAAGTATAAAGAAATGATTCCAACTGCGCGCATAAAAGCAAACAAGCTCACAACTGTAATCAATCCATCGTTAACCACAAATCCAGCAGCCTACAAGATTCGACAGGAACAAACAAACTAAATTTCGGCAATGGGACTCGTAAAAGGAGGCTACCTGTTTCAGGAACATAGGAGAATCCTCAAGTTTGATGAACGTCCCCATTCCGTCGCAAAATTTTCCTGCGTGTGGGTTTGCGTCTTTGTTTCTCAGCTGAGAGCATGAGATGCAGCCATGGCGATTGGGAAGAAATAATGCTTCCATTCTCGTGCACGTTGAGGGCTCCTTGGTCATTATGGCTTACAAAACAGAACCTCAGCTTCCCCCAACCAAATGTCCTATCTTTCCCATTATTCGTCAGTTATTTACACTTTCACCAAAATACCCCTCTACCTCACCAACATTAAAAATTCACCCTCCTTTTTTTATTATTATTATTATTATTATTATTATTATAACAAAAATACCTTTTAAACTATTTTATTTATTTTAAAAAAATATTCTTAAATCTAAATTCTTTTGTCGTATAATATCTTATTTATATCATATTAAAATGTCATAACATATCACACTGTATATTTAACTAATTTAAATTTTATTAAAAAATGAGTGTGTCTAGGTATTTTTGAAACATCGTACAATTTTATATGATATGAAGGTCTATAAAATAAAAATAAATAGATCTATGAATGACGTTTCAAGTTAAGAGTAGATACGTCGAGATATTTCTCGATCTATAATAGTTATACTACAATGTAGTTGATCACTGCAGTCGAAATTTTAACTGATATCATGAAGAAGGTGGATTTGAAGTACGCATCTTTCACTAATTTGTTGCTAGTTATTTGAGTTTGAATTGGTATTGATATTGACGAGCCGAAATTTCGAAAGACCTATTTTGTACCCAATTTTTTCCACATCATCTCTAACTTGCTTTCTGTACTCAGCAAAAGTGAAGTGTCTATACGGTGAAGGCTGTTTGCAACTCCCAATTGGAGAATGATAAGAAGGGCAGAGGAAGTAGGCTATCGAATATCTTTCCCGCATCGAATTAGCTACAACCATGTGCTTCACACTCTTGTAAGTATCATTGCTCCAAGCCTGCAAATCAGCTCACCATATCATGATATTTTGCATTAAGAAGACTTATAGTCCGAAATTGAAAGGGGTTGAATTATTTGTCGATCGATAAATATATTTTAAACCAACTTCTATTTTTTATTTTTGATGATATAATTGCAGAAGTCGATGACCGACCAACTTGACTAAATCGAATTGGTATGGTCTTATTATAATACTTTTAAAATTTTAGGTACATTGTCCCATTACAATAATTGATTTTATGATTTAAATAATTTATTAGGGACAAAATAGAACTTTTGAAATTAAAAAGGAATATATGCTTTGGTGTTTTAAATTTTGTTTAAAGGGTTGAAAATAGAAAATAAAACAAAAATAGATTAAATTGAATCTAACCTCGTCAAACCACGTAGACCAATTTACAAATTTAACCCTAGAGTCATAATCAAAACGAAGTAAAACAGTTGCAGCGCGTACCTGTAGAAGATCTCCAATGTTGACAACAAGGGCTTCTGGATTGGGTTTCACAGCCACCCATTGCGATCCTTTCATCAGCTGCAGCCCGCCGCTGCGATCTTGATGAAGTATGGTAAGAAAATCGCTGTCCGTGTGGGGCACCAGGCCGGAAACATCGCCGGGAAATGGACAGATTGGGTAATGATTCAATCGGAGGAAGCATGTGCTTTCGTCGCAGATATCGTCAAATATTTCTTTTCGGTGGCCCAAACACTCCACTAAAACTCCTGCTAAAGATCTTGCTAACTTCGACATGGCGGTTGCCAGTTCCTCCATCACTTCCCTGGCGTTCAAGCATATAAGGTCAGTGAGTAGTGGGCTCTCCTTGTTTTTTTTTTTTTGTAATTTAGTTCAATTGTGGAAGAATGTGGCCATTTAATGCCGGTTGATTGTGATTTCGAGGTGCTATTACTTTTTGCGGTCTAGCTGTTTGTGAAAATGTCTAGACGAGTTAAACTCTTCAAGATTGCGGGATGTCGGTGAAAAGTGCATTAAAAATTATAATATAAAAGATATCTGGTTAGATTACAAACAGAACTTTTGAAATTTTCATTTATGTTCCTCAAATTTGAACTAAAATATGAATATGACATGATCATTAGATGACTTTTGGCTGAGTTGGCATGGTATCGCATAGGGTTGGATATATTAACAAGCATGCCATATCAGCCTTCTGTAAATGTGAGATTAACAAACAAAAACGTAATCTGAAATTAGTCTAAAACTTAAGAATATAATTGAACTTTTTTTAAGTCTAAAAGATCATATCGACACAACGTTTCAAGTCTTGGAACTAAATGAAAAAAATACAATACGTAAGAGAAGTATGTAGCTGGATGAAGGGTGATAAAGTTGATACCTTAAGTTAATGAACTCGCCATAGCAGGCAGCTTCAGAGACCTTTGTGAGGGGAATGTGAAAAGCTTCAGACCAAGAGAACTGGTTTGGGTGGGTTGCAGTCGGTGTTCCCCATCTGTAAGAATGATCCAAAATCCCACTTGTAGATTTTTTCTCAAAGGGTACCCCAAATAACTTCATTTGTTCCTTGCTCATTCTGCTCAGCAGCTCTGTGCGTATCCCATGGTTTATCACTTGGAAGAATCCCCATTCTGCCGACGCTCCAAAAATTTCTCTACTGCAAGCCCTCCTCTCCTTTTCATTGCTACTTTCCAAACCTGTAAGATCAATAAGAGGAAGCTGACATTCCTCCATGACAGAGTTAATTTGTTGATTGCCATTGTTAAGTAGTTGTAATTGAGCTTTGGATTGCAAAAGCAACTCATATTGATGGAAGAGTGGTGGGTTGGAGTCCGTCATGGTAGTGTTCTCTATATTCCTTGTGGGTTTCCTACAAAAGTTATGAAAGCGAGAAGTGCTCTTTATATTCCCTGTCTTTGGAAAAGAGAAGTTGGGCTTAAGTTGTGGGGAGGAGGAAGATCACAAGTGGAATCAAACAAAGACAATAGAAGAGGATACTGTAAAGGAGCTACCATATAGTGACAATATGAAAATATGGATTCTCTCTCTTTCCATTTTCTCACAAAAAAAATTGGGAAGACGAGGTCTGTTTTGATCCCTTTTAATATTAACGATAGAAGACAAGCCTAAGGAAGTGGGAAAACAATGAGAAGGAAAGATCCAAACCTACCTTCAACTTTTTGAGTTTGGTAGACAAAAAGTTTATATTGGGACCCTTCTGTTGTTATGTAGCAACTACCAAGTTTATTCCCAATTAGGCCTCAGTGAAATAGAATGTTCCATTTCCATGATTGTTTATTTAGTTTCTTAAAATAATTGTTTATGCTCTGCGGATTCTTTCCTTTGTGCATAATTGGTGAGTATGGCTCTTAAACGTCATTGTCTTTTTCTTCTGCAGCAAACCTAACCAAACCTGCCATGTCTGGATTCTTCATTTATTTTCTCAGGTTTATTATTTCTGCTCTTGTTGGTAGATGGATGAGGATGAGGACGATAATTTACAGGTACGTCCTGTCGAATGAAGAATCCAGACATGCAGGTTTTGTTAGGTTAAAAGATATATATATATGTGTGTGTATGTATGTATGTATGTATGCATATACAGATAAAGAGGCTAAAACATAGTCTTCGTTAAATCTGATTACGAAACAACATAATGTCCAAGGTTTAGATAACCTAAATTCTAAATGCATGCCGCACCATTGATCATGACAAAATGAAAAACAATATATCTACTCAATAGGTTATAAAAAGGATAAAATTGTAAAACAATAAAATTGAACCAAAATTATTAAATTATAATTTGTTGTCCTTGGTGGCTCATAGAAGTAGCTTTTGAAATCAATTTTCTTTCAAATATGTATTTCTCCTACAAAATTTGAAGATTTCAATTTAATTCTATATATGTCTTTCTTTTTCTGAACTTTTATCAAATAATTTATATTAACAAAATTTTACTTACAAATTTGGTGAAGCTTTGAAGAAGGAAGATTAAAAAAAAACAAAAAAAATTGGGAGAAATAGAGTTGCTGGCGACAGTCCAACGAAGAGATGGTAAAACAATAGAAGGAGATTTAGCCAGGTTTCCACTCGATTTTAGAGCTATTGGTTGCTGGACAGAGATTTAGACTGGTTTGGAGCAAAATCCAGTGAGTTGAAGCTTGAATTCAGCTTCAAATCAGAGAAGAAAAGAAGGAAATTCATTTTCGCCGTCTGCCTTCCGAGCGTAATTCGTGACAATCCAGCCAACCATTTGATGAATTTCTTGAGGGGTTTTGATTAGTGGATCGTGGGAAAGAGTTCCATTGAGCTGATTTTGGAAGATTTGGGTGCGAATGCGAGGTTGAATATGCTTGGCTTTTGAGTAAGTGCTCGAACTTTCAAAGATAAATTCTTTCTCTACACTCAACCAATCCTTATGAATTTTGTTCCTACAGCTTCATGGCAGTGAGGAGAAGATTTTATGTGAGGAACTCAAGAGATGTAAACCATCACGTGAAGATACATTAGAGGTAAGAACGGCGATTTTTAGCCGAAGAACGAATGACTCCCTTCTTTAAATCGATCAAATTTGGTGTGTTCCTTGAGTTCCTCACATAAGTGAAATCTTGAGTGAAATCTTGGCTATAGTGAAAGGAATTGGGACGAATCAAAGGGGGAAGGCCGTCGTCGAAGAGCCGCCGGAGGAAGGATGTTGGCTGCCAGAGAAAATATAAACTTGTGTTCTCCTGAGGTACACGAAGTCGCCTGTAGGCAGCGTTGACCTGTCAATGGATAACCCTACCTTGACCGTCCTGGTGTATTCGCAAGATTTTGGCCATCCGTAGTTTGATTTTTTTTTTTTTTTTTTTTAATCTATTTTTCCCAATTTTCTTCTTTTGACTCAGTTAGGGCCTACTTAGACAAGTTTGGGAGAACTTAAGACTTTAAGAAGCAGAAAAATCGAGCCTCCGAATACTCCAAGTATGGTAAGTAGCCATTTCGAAATTCCTATGCATGTTTACCTATAGGATCAACTTGGACTAGCATGATCAAGTTAGAATTAAGTTATATCTAGAAATATGCATGAATTATCTTGAGAATTTTGATTTAGAGCTTTGTGACTTATCCTTAAATTTTACCATGCATGGTGAGACTCTGCTAGGTTAGCAAACTTGCTTAGACTAAATTTGCACGTATAAGAATCATTCCTTGACCTTCTAAGCATAGTTGTATAGGATGAGCCACCCTTTTCAGAACTCAAAGCCTAATAAGCCTAGATAGGTCCTTAGATGCACGTTAGGTTGCAAGACTAAATTCCACTCTTTGATTCGGGAACCATTATACCATCAAGTTCGTTTGTGAATGTTCCCATCAGAATCCAAGTGGAATCCGCTTGTAGGGATGTCCTATGACCAATGAGTATAATACAGATCCGAGAGATCTCTAGGTAGGCCACTAGGGAGGCTGAAGAACTAGTTACTACGTTAAAGCTTAAAGAGTTGAAATAATAGTGGACTTAGGTTATACCGTATGACAAAGTTTTGTCTCGTGACCTTTCACCCATATTCAACTCTCTGGCATGTCTCATTGATTCTCTCTCTTCTTGAGTCATCGTAAGGGGGAATTTTGGGTGGATCTAATAGAGTTTTAATAGCACTTTGTGGTCCAAGAATGGCTTTAATAGTAATCCCATACTTGTACTTTTTGAATATCAAGAATGACCATCTTTTTATCTTTGTTGAACACCTTTTTGGCTCTGATATCAATTTGTTGGGTTTGAAACGTGGCAGGTCAGACTAAAGACTAGTAAGACAAAAGGTTGTTGTTCAAAGCAGAGGAAAACAATGGAAAAAGGCAATGAAGGACTAAGACACAGAATTACAGTGGCTTTGGTCTTTTTCTACTCACTTGCATCAAATGGGCCTTTGGTATGTATTAGTTCTTGTCAAACAACTCCCCCCCGAAACAGTATGAGCCAAATAGTTGACAACGATTATTGATTGAAAACATCACCAGTTTGCACTTTGTGTGTGAAATATACAAACATTTGAACAATATGAAGCAAATAATTGGGTTGGATTAATGACATCGAATCACCTAAAAGCACTACACTTTCAGTTCTACTGATGATAAATTACTTGTTCCCGCACTCCAAACCCGCTTCTTGTTTTGTGGAAACTCGAAACTAGCCAAAAGAAGGAACCTCTACCGATAAAATCAACAACTTTACACTCTCTCTACCATCCTAGTTGAAGAATAATTGAGATGCCTTTAGAATGAAAACAAAGAACAGCAACAACAACAATGATAATCAAAATGCAAACTTGTGAGTTTTGGAAGCCATTCAAATGCTTAAATGTTCTTCCCTGGGCAAACTCTGGACAATATCAGACCATCTCCCTGGTGAATGATCACTACTGTTGGATGATATTTGAGCCTCTGCTCTTGTATCTCTTATCATCTTTAGTACATCCCTCATTGTAGGTCGGTTCTGCGGCATAAGTGAAACACAAGCCATTGCTATGTTCAAAAGAGCTTGAAGTTTCTCTTCCGATGCCTCATTCCCAGACGTGGGATCATCCCCAGACTCCGTCTCCTCTTCTCTAACTGAGCTAACCCACTTGGGAATGTCGGAGCCATGTTCTTGAACAAGATCTTGGAAGGGTGTTTTTCCTGTAAGAAGCTCCAACAGAAGAACACCAAAACTATAAACGTCTGCTTGTTGTGTGGTTGGCTTACGGATGTCGCGGCATTCGGGAGCTCGGTAAAAGAGCGAAGTTGCACTAGGTTCTTCGAGCGAATCTGGATCTCGAAATAAGTTAAGACCATAATCAGTAAGACACGACTCGAAATCCGATCCTAATAGTACGTTTGAGGATTTGAGGTTTCCATGTATTGAGCCTGGGTTCTGGTGGATGTAGAGTAGACCACTGGCCAAGTCTTCAGCTATTTTGAGGCAGGATGTCCAATGAAGAGGCTTTCCTCCGCCTGAAGTTCTCGATCCTGTAATTCAAGCTTAAAAAAATTATTGGCCAAACCATGTGAAACTTACAAACTAAGAACGCCCAGATGCACGTTGCGTTATGGACTTACAAATTGCAGAAAATACAAGTTTATACCGGTACAATGGTGAAGTACTATTGAGAGATTAAAGCAACCAACCACAATTCTTTCTTAAAAAAAAAAAACTATATTCATGCAATGCCTGATAACAGTGTTCATATACTAGCATGTTTAGAACATGTTTGATTTGGTGTTCAAGCTTTATTATGTTTCTTCTTTTTCCGCCAACTAATTTTTCAAACAAACATAAATGAAACATTTGAAAACTTTTAGTATTAATGTTTCACAAGTCTCCCACATGTTTTGAATTGGTTTTAGTGTAGGCTGTCCAGTTAAATGTTGAGCATGGACATAGTACTGGACTACAAAATCCATGTTTTATGTCAATAGAGAGCAGCATGTCATCTTTAATAACTTCCTCTGGACCTCATCCAGAGGAAAGACGAAACAGAGAACAAAAACAAGAGGACCTCATTTAAAAAAAAAAAAAAAAAAAAAAAAAAAAAAAAAAAAAAAAAAAAAAAAAAAAAAAAA